GCATACACTTCCGAGTGTTCATTCCTATCAAAAGAACATATTCAATATGGATCAAAAGAAAAATGTTGATGACAAACGACTAGTTCACAATCATCACGAAACTTACTTTCCTCTTGATTCAATACTAACAAAATTTGCTTGCTTCCACACATCGAGGTTACATAAAACTGATCGGACCGAGATGAGGGACGATTTTGCTGTTCTTGCATAGGACCAAAATCTCACGAAACCTTTTCCCACCGTTATGAAACCATTGTCATCATTAGGAGCCAAAGCAATATCGTTGGTTTCGTCCACATTTTTTGAAAATTTCAATTCTCCCTTTCCGACACTAGGTGATGATTGACCAGAGGCAGGAACAAGGTCCCAGATTTTCAATTCATTTTCAGCACCTAAACTTATGAGCATTTTGGAATCTTTGGAAAAACAAATTTGCTTAATCTCATGTTCGTGACCTTTTTCCTTACTCTTCACATCAAAAGTGATTTTTGGTTTTTCTAATGTCACATTCGTGTCATTATTGTTCTCCTTGTTGTTAATTGAAGGAGAAAATATTTGATGCAAATCCCAAACAGCAATGGATGGTTTGGGGCCTCTCTCACCGGCTGCTAAATATTGACCATCCTTTGAAAATGCAATGCAACTGAAGGGTTTGTTCGACGTTGGGTGCTCTAAATATTTCACTTGCTTACTTCTCTTAATGTTGTAAAGAACGACAAAGGTTCCTGCCAAATAGGCCACAATTTCAGAATTCATACTGTGACCTCCAATCATTAAAGGAAGGGCTCCCGACATTGGAATGGCTGAAGGGTGTAATTGGAATGAATGTTGATTATAGACAGTACTTCCGATAATTCGCTCTAATTTTAAACCTGATGCTCCTCCCTGGTGATGATGAATGTTATTGCCAATAGAACCCTTACTTCCTCCTTTGTTGATTTGACCCAATGGTGTCGGGATCATCTTTTAGCAGCGACCCCAGGTGCCACTTTTGACCCGAATTGTATTCGTGATTTTCTTGCATAGGAATCAATAAATTGTGATATTCAATTCAATAAATAATGAGTGAATGATGGGATGATGAAACAATAAATTATGGGAGTTGTATGTACAACGAAAAAAGTGAGCACAATAAATCTAATTGATAGGTTCGTGATACCTCCGATGTAGGATGAGCCTTTTCAAACCTGTAATTAAGTTGGCGCTTTTTTGTATGACCTTTATAATGATTTGTCAATGACATCTTCAGGAGATTGATAAATCCCAACAACAACAACAAAACAGCTGTCGTGCAACAATGAACTGTCAATATTTACTAATTCACTTTATCAATTAACGAACGAATGGTTAACGACGAATTGCTCAATTTGATTCGTCAAAGACGTTTGGCGTTGTAAATTGTTCGGCTCCATAATTTAGAGGAAAAAATGGCTGGAAACAAGAAGAAGGAACATCTCATGGAAGATGAGGACAGCGGTGATGCGGAAGATCAAATTGAAGACGAGGAAGAAATGGAAGAGAAAGATCACGATGAAGCTGACAAAATGATACTGCAAGATGATGATGATGAATCCTCATCGGAGAATCAAGATGATTCCGAAGCTTCCAGTCATATGAATGAAAACACTCGACCTAAAAAGAAGAAGAAAACTTATCACTCGTGTGTAGTGCTGCGTGATTTTAAAGGAGATTTGGAAAAGGCTGGTTCTTTTGGTAACATCTCTGACATGGGTGTTTCGTTGATATTATTATTTGCAGAGAAGGATACCACTTTTAATTTGGCACTCACTTGCAAATGGATATATTCTGTCTATTTGGAATTGAGATCTTATAGTTTAGATTTCATTCGTTTGGAATATCTCAATAGCAGATGTACTCAGTACAAATACTTGTCAAGTTTATTTAAACCATTGATATCCCCATCAATGACTTATAATGAACTGAAGAAAGAAATTGTTGGAAATGGGAGAGAAATAGTTAAAGGGATGGAAAATGTAATTGCCTTTGAACCAGTAGATATTATGCGTGATGATCCGTCATTAATTTTGCCCAACAAATTTTCACAAAGAAGAAACGTTCTAATCAATCTCTTTCAAGATTTTTCACAAGAAGATATCGAGGAAGGAACAGTCATTCGCAAAGACAGCCCTTTCCATAAGATGAATTTGTTGAGATGGAAGAATTTCGGTGTCAAAAATATGAATGAATTTAAAGTTAAGGTGGAAGAGAATTGCAGTGATATGATTCGGATTTTACTTGATTGTTTGTGGAGACATAACGCTTCCAATAAGGTAGGTTCAAACTCTGATACATGTAACAAACATCGCCTTTCGATATGGGCATGATGTTGTACAAATGATTAGGAACAATTCATTGTTGCTGGAGGTTTCGTTTTGAAATGCTTGAGAAAGGAGACCCGATTTATTCGTGGGATAGTACTTCGGATGTAGACATTTTCTGCATTCAGAATGGTGAAACACCAGAAAAGTGTCACTTTTCATTGAGGAGAATTTTATTTGAATTTGAAAAGTTGGCAAAGAACGAAGGCCATGAATACGCTGTTGTGAAGAATAACGGTTGTTTGAACATTCATGGAAAAGAATCATCCAATATTGCACAATTCATTTTGAGACGTGTTGATACAATCGAGGAATTGATGACATTCTTTGACATTGATTGTTGTCGCTTCTGCTATGACGGTACTAATGTGTACACAGTGAGAGAAGGTATTAACAGTATTTCCACATTGCATAACTTTGTTTCCTTTGAACACAAAGGAAAAGGGATGTATACCAGTCGGGCCTACAAATATGGCAAACGCGGTTACACAACTTGGTTCACCAACACCCATCCTCTTGATCATTTCCATGATTGCTCAAAAAAGGTTGAGAGAATACAAGAAAAAATTGAGTCTGGTATAATTGACGAAAGTGAATGTTTATATGGAGAAGGAACTGACAGAGATGATTTAGAAGGACTTTACTCCATTTTCAACAACATAAGTTTGTCGTATAGACATATTGTGACTATTAGAAGGATTGGCGTCAAGAACTTCTTGGCAATTGGATGGGAGAGCTACTACTCTGGAATGTGGTTGGATGTTGATTTTGATGATTATGACTTAGAAAAAATTGAATATCCAGAAACTGAAGAGTTTGATGGCTTTGTAAGAAGAGTGACTAGTGAAGATGTACACTACTTTTGTTTGAGTGTTAGAGAATTATATATGAACGATGCTAGTATTTTCTTTACAGATTACTATTTTGATTCACATTTGAGAGGTATGTATGCAGAACTTATTTGCAAATACGGGTTACTGTCATATGAATGGATCATTTAACCTTTTTGCAATCCTAATCATCACACTATCGAATGGCAATATTGGATCAACATTTCATAGGAAAATATAATTTTTGGAAATGTTATTGTTGTGGTTTTTATCGACATTCGAGCGACTTGGATCTTGATGATGATAATTCCAAGTTTAATATGTGCAGCACATGTAGAAGCTTTAATTCCAACATGAAAAAGTTGAAGAGAGATTTAACTGGCAAAGTTGCAATAGTGACAGGAGGGCGCATTAAAATCGGTTTCATGGTTACGAAAACTCTTTTGGAAAATGGGGCCACAGTCATTGTCACTACTCGATTTGTCCACGATGCTCACAAGAAATTTTCAGAATATTCTGACTATGAAGAATGGAAATCAAGATTATTCATCTACCCTTTGAACCTCAAAGATGGCGCGTCTATCATGTCATTCTGTGCTTATATTAGAAACAATTTTAAGCATGTGGATTATTTAATTAACAAGTAAGTATCAACACTTCTCAACTGTAACTAACATTGATTTTGTTATTTCCAATCATCAATACTTTTACCAGTGCTGCTCAAACTGTTAGAAGACCCCTCAAATATTATGAAAACTTGCTTTCAAAAGAAAAGGAGTACTTGGATGAAAAGTATTTGGGTGATATCAAAGTTGACAACAAGGAAGACTCTGCGACATCATTTAATCATGGAAGTGAATCTTCTCAACTGGTCTTGAGAAATGACAATTCTAAAGTCGTAGTGTACAAGGACGAAAGAACCCTCAGGCAACATTGTTTAGATGTGACTGAAAAGTACAATCTTACTAAGGAGGATTTCGATTCAAATTTAGACAAAATGTTTCCACCTGGAGAAACTGACGAGTTTGGAGAGCAGCAGGATAATAGAACTCACCACTCATGGACATACAAGTTACCAGACGTAGACACTGTCGAATTGTTAGAGACTCAAATGATCAATAATATTGCTCCAACAATTCTTGTGGCTCAATTAATGGAAATTATGCAACCAAATGTTGACGAGAGTCATTGTACCTATGATATGGATGATTTATTGACCGGCAAACATTTGTCATATATTGTAAACGTGGTCTCTCATGAGGGTATCTTTAACGTGGAAGGTAAAACCGATTCTCACATCCATACAAACATGTCGAAAGCAGCATTGAACATGCTCACACGAAGTGCTGCTTCCTATTATGCCAAGAAGGGCATATTGATGAATTCAGCTGACACCGGATGGATATCATCGGCTATTGAGACCTTTATGGAACCTCCATTGAACATCAGTGACGGTGCTTATCGAATCCTGCATCCGATTCTTACTGCCTCTCTGGATTATGGAAAGTTGTACAAGAATTACCATGAAATTAAATGGTAATTTAGTGGCCACATCCTGCTGTCTTCGAAAAAAGAATCCTTCTTTAATGTTTTTCAAAGACTTGTTCATCATGATATTTAGATTTTTGTTTTTTCAACAAGTCAGATTTTGAACTTGATGATGAACGAGAAAGTTCACAAATTGAGTATTTAGAAACTTTGTGCGCCATTTCGTGTACGACCTGAAATCAAAAAAATACCTGACATCAAAGCCGCATACAACATTTTCCAAAATATCTCTCTCAAGATTATTGGATAGTGTCCTCTATCGTGACGAAAAACAAGATTCATCATGACCCAAGTAATTCAAAGTTATGAATTGCTACTTCAAAAGTTGGTGAGCAATCATATCGGAAGTGATTCCTCTTCTTCCTCAACGACTCTAGATTCCGTTGATTTGCAATTACTGTATCAAGATTCCTATCCAACAAATATTCATGTTCCAGTATTTTCCGACCTCTCTTCTTTGGAGAGAAATTGCTTTGTTTTTTCTCAGTCCATTCTTTCGGGAGGACAAATTAAGTATTATGAACAACAACTATTGAATTATCTTCAAGCAAGTTTAAGGTCGGAGGAAAACCTTCAAATTGATGGAATATATGAAAGGACGTGTGATGCAGGGCGGACCTCTCATCTCTATTTTTCAACTGCTTGCCGAAATAATGTAAAGCTGAACAAAAAAACCGAATTGTTGCAAGGGTGGACAGGAGAAGTTTTCAATTTGGAGCGAGTCTTGTTCAGTAAGGATATTTTGATAAACAAAGAAGAACGTTTGAAGGTAAGAGATATTTTAAAATATTTAAATCAGTGAAATTGAATTTGTGAATGACATCTCTTGCAGTTTACGGTCAAAACATTTCTCTCCATATGCAAAGCTTTGAGTGAACTGCACTCATGTAATATTAGTCACAACAGTATCCTACCAAAGAATGTTCTAGTGCTTGCGAATGATCTGCGACAAATCCTTAATGCAGAGATTATTCTACAAATACCAAGTTTTGGTCTTGAAACTATTAGAGACACTTTAAACGACGAACATGTCACATATTTTTCAAGACAAGCATTTGAGAATGACAATGAACCATTCTCCACATCTAATGACATTCACATGCTAGGAACAATGATTCTTGGTGTACTGTTTAAGGAGGAAATTGATCCAAAGTTACTCGATATCGACGATTGGAAGAATGAAATGCAAAATATTAAAGACAGAGTATATAGAGCGTTAAACCCTGAAGGTTTGCACAGTGACTCAATTGACGTTCAATTGGAAGTGGTCTTGAAGAAGATTCTAAATATTGCCTTAGATTGTTTGTCTCCTCATGAACAAGACAGGCCAAGCATTTCTGATGTGTTACAGATTTTTACAATCTGTCAAGAAAAATTGTCTGATCATGACAATGAACGAGCTGAGTTAATGCCTTCAAGAAAACCCAAACCACAAGTAGCCACCAAAGCCAACATTGTTGTTCCAGCAATTGATTACAATGATGATATTAACACAAGAACAAGATCAGACTCCATCAATTCTGAGACATCAGGACGAAAATCTAGATCGTGGAAAGCAATCATCAAACCTTTCACGAATTTATTTGTTAAGAAAACAAAAAAGACGTAGAAGAAGGAGAGAAAAGAAAGTACAATACGAAATCTTGAACAGACTTAGCGATGGAGCTTCGGCAGTGGTACTTTTGGCCACCAATAAGGAAAACAACGAAGTTTGTGTGATGAAAAATACAAAGACGGTGCCTTCAGAGATTACGAAAGAGAAGTCGAGTGTTTAAAGTTGTTCCAACATCGAAGTGTTGTCAAAATGTTGGATCATTATTCATACGAAGAAATTGACGATGCCTCCAAAAAGAAGATGCAGTCACACGTTGTCATTCTTGAATACTGTAAATTTGGCGATATGTTCACTCAGCAAATAAGTTTTGTGAGCACTAAAGGCAAGAAAGTCAAGTACATGAGACCGCTCAAATATTTGAAGACGTGTATTGATTTATTGGAAGCTTTAGAATGTGTTCACATGAAAGGTTATGTTCATAGCGATATTAAGCCCCAAAATATATTAATTTCCCATGAAGGTGTTAGGTTAGCAGATTTTGGTTTTTCTGTCAAACAAGGACAAGCAATATTGGGAGGAACTTTGCGATATCTACCCCCGAGCACCATGAAGGACAACCCTCACATGCCGGAATTGATGTGTACAGCATGTTTTATTCACTTTTTGAAATTTTTAAGCAAAAAGAAGGTCAACTTTCAAGTTTCTTCTTCTTCAGAGGATGATTTTGTGAGAATATGGCAAGAAAATCTAAAGACCAATCCTTATTTCACATTATTCAACACGAAAGGGAAATCGCTCAACGCCAGCGCACACTACGCTCATCCACTCGTAGAATTATTTGAAAAATGTCTCGACCCTAATCCTGCAATGCGACCTTGCACAGCGGAAGCCCTCGAAGTCATGAAACACATCCACCGAACGCATGCCGCAATACTCATTCAAAAACCATGCGAGGACATTTGACACGAAAAAGATTCAAGAGTGTTCATGAAAAGTAAGGACCATGGATAATGACCTTTTGTAGCTCATCTTAAAAGTATTTGCGTCGTTTCATTACTGTGAATGAAATACACTTGGCGAAAAGAAGTTGTGCACATTGATGTACCTTTCGTGTGTGTATGCTCTACAGGCGATGTAGTAGTAGAATAAAGTCCGTATTCTTTTGATTTTCGAGTGTTCTCGAATGCATTCACAGCTGAAAGAATTCTTTTCATTCAGGAAATGAATTCGAATGTTCGACTCTTTTAAAAAATGTCCGAACCGATCAACGTTGAATCTTCACCACCGCCGCTCACTTCCATTCATATTCATCATGCAACACCGAGACGAAGGCTTTCAAAATTCGGACAACTCATGCTCATGCAAGAACAACCGGATGAGCCTCTCGTAGTGGGTGGATTGGTTCTTCTCGGAAGGACTTCTTTGGGAAGCCTCAACCATGATGATAGGAATGATTGCAAGTTCAATCGGAAAGCCTTTGAAGAACGACTCTCGGAAAGATTATTGGCTCGTTTTGTACGTTTCAGAAGTTTGGTGGTGAGTGAATGTGAATACATCGATGTTGGTGTGGAGAATGTATGCATGGAAAATCATGTCAAGTATTGCAAATTGAGTGAAGAAAAGTTTCAACGAATGAGTGAAGATGAAATCTTGAGTGAAATGCTAAGTGAGATATTTACGACACCGTTTGTTCCTGTCCGATACGTGACAGGCTCGAAAATGCCTCTTTGGCAATGTTATGTCATTGAGAACTATTCAAGGGGAATTGTCTTGTTTTTTAAGATTCATCACTGGATTGGAGATGGAACCTTGTTGCAGAAAATAATTGTCGGCGATTTGTTGGACAATGAAGAACAAGTAACCAATTTTCTGTTAAACAAATACGACAAAATGTTACAAGGAAGTCACAATAATTGGAACTCTGCTCTAAGTATCATTCATAATGTAGAGATAGTCATATCTAGGAACGTACCATTCGTAGGAAAACTTCTGGCATTGGTGGTCGGATTTTTATTGAAGTTTCTTGCGTTTTTTTCAACCTTGTTACTTGTATTATATTTAGGAATTAGTGGCGATAGTGATACCATGTTTAAGCCATCTTCAAAGAATCCAAAAGTTGGAAAAGTATCTTGTTCTTTTATTTGGTTCAATGAATCCAACGAGAAGCATGATGCAGACATGACCCATGAAACCGACAAATATTTCACAGTTGAAGAATTTAAGCGAGTGGCTCTATTATTAAGCCAAAACAATTCCAACACAGGAAAAGTCAATGACCTATTTCTGACCATATTCAGTGGCGCCATTGATCGATACAGGTTGAAAATGAGCTCAGATCGTGAACCTCGGAATAATCTTTCCAGAGAGTACATTCTGAAATCGTGTACCTCTCGTTTGGGAATGGGTGTGAACATTCGAACGAGCAAGTCCAGAGAAGAAGCTGGCAATATTGTGGGAGTGTTGTTTGGAACATTGCCTTTCGATATTCACTTAAAACTTCGAGAACGTTTTTCGATCATTCACAAGTATATGAATTTAGCCAAATTCTTGCCACAACCTTATTTCAACAGATATTTATTATGGTTAGCCACTGCCTTATTACCCAAATCCTTAGCCGTGTCACTACTCAATTGGGGAGCATCCTCTTCTACTTTCACCATTTCTAATGTTCAAGGACTTCATTCTCCTGAAGACGAAATATCATTCAAGTTGCTTGGTCATGACTTGATTCAGGGAGTTGGATTCATTCCTCTCGTTAAACCCATTGGAGTGAATAGCACATTGATGTCTTTTAATGGACGAGTTGGTATTTCAGTTGTGTGTGACAAGGGTATTATTCCAAATGCTCATGAAGTGACAGACTGTATTCGAGAAGAATATCTTGCTATTAGAAAAGAACTGGGTATATGATTTCAATCATATTCATCATGCGTTTAATTTTATAGAACACATGCTACTTGAATATGATTCTCTGGCCAGTCTCCATTGCCCAAATAAATAATACCTTTAGCAAACCATCTTAAACCATGATTAACATGTATGTCCTTTGTGGGATGAACAAAAGTATTTTTCACAATCATCGCAATAACTTCTACATTTCTCACTGTCACACACACAACACTCACAACCATCCAATTGTTTAACACATTCGCTACAAAAATTATTTTTACAACGTGCACACTCATCTCCAGCACAATAAAAACAAACATGGCCGCAGAAAGAGACACAAACTGAGCAATGGTACTCATGACACTGTTTACATTTAAAATATTTGCTAATATCATCAGATTTGCCACAATTGACACAATTGACCGGAGTGTCAACAAGGTCCGGAGTATCAATAGCGTCACCCTTCTTAGTATACAACTGTCGATTACATTTGTCAAAAATAAACAAATCCTGATTCTTTTGGGTTTGGGTGGGAAAAGTACCATCGGAATTCATAACAACGTACTCAGTAAGACCCCAAGTATAATCAAAACCCAATTTCTTCAACAGTTCATACGGAACAGAGAAAACTGCCAATTTTTCTCTGTAATCTTTTTCTGATTCGTGTTCGTGTGCATGTGATGTTTTGAAAAGGTTCGCCTCATATCCCAGTTTCTTCAATCCAGCAATAATCAAATCGCATCTTTTGGTACCAAATTGTTCTGTTTTTCCAACTTTAGCAACCATGAAGCCCGAACATGGTCTGTATGCATTATTTGTTTCTGTATGAACTTCTAGGCTCGAAATTTTAATAATATACAATTTTGGTTCGATAGCTTTGGCTGATATTGATGACTTGTTTTCACGTAATATCTCGTTCAAATCGTCAATCAATCCAACGACATTATCTAAACCGTATTGTCGTACAACATCTCTCAAAGTAACGTTTTCACTAACAGATAGTTGACCAAGCCGGTCACACAATTCACCTTCAGAGCTCGAGCTATTGTGTACACAATGTTATTCCGAGCAAAGATTCCGAAAAGATCCATACCTGTCATGATCATCGGAACTGTCAGACATTTCGACTAATTTTTTTGGACTGCACTGAATTTGGAAAAGAGGATATTGTAAATAGATATGAAGAAACAAATATTTAATTTTGACGATGGATACGCTTTTGTGTTTTCCAAATCACAAAAACCTGTCCTGATTGGTGTAGTGATGTGAAATCAACGAAAACAAGAGTAGAATTTCGTGATCTGAAATTTTTGAAGAGTGTCTAGTTGTTGAAAACAAAACCACAGAAGCTAGACTTGAAATACTTTGCCAGTATTGTTTTTTTTTGGTTGAAGCAGTTTGTTGACATTTCATGTGTGGATGAAGATGACAAGAACGAAGAAAATATGCTGTGTTCTGCCACATTCATGGACTCTAATGACTGGGAAGATGACATCGAAGAGGATGAAGAGAGTGAAAAA